GCTGCTGCTGCTGCTGCTGCCCGCGCATGCGCGGTGGCGGTTTAGTGCTATGAGCACGTGCGCTGCCTCTGTTTTGCCACCTGTAAAATGGGAGTAAATCCTCACCCGTCTGTAAAGGCCGCAGGGTGCAGATATGCACAGGGGATGAATTGGGGTTGCCTCCCAGCAACCCGCTACTTACCCGGTCCAAGTCTGCTTCACTCCGGCCAAAGTGGCTCTGAAGATCTGTCCGTGGGGTAAAATGGGGAATCGATGAACTATCTATAACGTTACCCCCCAAATTCTTGAAAGCAAAGCTCACGCCACGTGTACGTTACACCACAGGGGCGTGAACACACCAGGGGGGGCGGCCACGTTTCACGGGGATCGGTGCAGGGGGGGTGGGGCGCGCTGCACCCCAAATTCTTGAAAGCAGGATATGGCAGCGTTGAGTACAGACGCCCCGCTGCCAAATTTCGAGGCGTGTGGCGAGTACGGCAGACAACGTGCGCCGGGTCACGCCCGTGGACCAGCCTGCGGGGCCCCCACATCAAACGACCCCCTTATTGACCCGTCTGCTGGAGGTACCAAAATCGCAGCCTATAAAGACAGGTGAAGATTTACGCCCATTTTAACAGTTGTGGTGGGAGAAACCTCCCTAAGGTTCGTTGTCTAGCTGTAATTTGATTGACAGACAACGCGGGTAAAGAAAGACAGCTGTTTATTTGCTCGAGCAAAGACCATAAAGCCAGCAAAAGGCAAAATGGCCCCCCCCTAAGGGTGAGGTGATCTTTTATACTTATTACAACAAGGCAAGACTTCATGGTTAACAAAAAAAGCAATACTTGGGCGGTGCTTTTCAAATCTTTGTAACAGCATATTTCTATTAAGCTGAACTAGCACTTTTTTAAAAGCTAAAAGTTAAGTAACAGTAACATTATAATATGTTAGCAAAACCTTACACAGTAGTAGATACTTCTCAAGGACACAACCAGTGCACCCAGAACAATGGTTTCCCTGTCTTATCTTACTTCTTGCTGTAGCTGATTTTTCAGCACGCAGACACAGAGATACTTGCTGCTTTTAACTCAGAAAATGCTTAATACAGTTAAAATGATTACGTGACACAAGCAAAGGCTTATCTATCAATCTGCCTTGTGGTCAGCTGCATTGCTGGGCCACAGGTCATGCCTTGTATTCAGCTGTAAAGCTAATACTTCCTAATAATCTAAATTATTGTAAACCTAACAGTATGCTTATCAGAAAACTATTCTATTTCAGGGTATTAACAAACCTGCGCACTACAAATCCTCCCTTTGTTCCAATTTTTCAGGAGAAATTTTGGAACACACTTTTAGGTATTTAACTTCTTGTGGGGTTAGGTTTTGATGATTGATGCTGGATATTTGTATAAACTGACCATACATTTTTATTTGCCTTTGCATAAACTGTTGTCCTAGAGAGCACAGACACTGAAAACAGCACAACAGGCAGA